ACCGCTCGCGTGTACAGTATTTTAGTTATCAGACGGTATCGGTAGTGAGATCACACCTGATGAGATGGACCATTAAAACACAAATATTTTAAAGCCAGTCAACTTCAGGAAAAGTCCTATACATTCATACTATAAACACTGCTTAAAGTGAATCTGGGATATCTGTCATTGTCATAAACACAAGATTTTCCCTGGAGTAAAACCACATGTGTTACTCCTGTGCCACAATTAACACTATTATAGCAATTTATGGTCCCCAGCACTTTTTATATGCTATTATAGCATGTGATGTGTTGCGTTAATTAAGGCTGTATCAGCACTTCTGTTACAACCCTGATTTTCAGGGTAGCTAAAACTTGGCTATTTAATCTGCTCCGGGATACTTGAGCTGTTAAATCTCTAACGTTTTAGTGATACTTCTCCCACCAAACCAGGCACATCTTTTCTTTAGGTTCTATATTTACAAATGCTCTTAAGACAAATTTAACCGGCAGAGGCAAGAAATTCTACCTTGATGTACAGTCTTTTGGCATTCGGGGCAAAATTAAAGTGCAAAGTATAAACTTCATTGCACAGTAAATAATTTAGATTTTATTTTAAAATAAATCTTATTTAGGTGCCTCAGTCTATTCACCTAGTGACCATGTCCAACTCAGCCATTTTCCTCTACACTTTGGTAAACATAGGTTCATATATAGATACATAAATAGCATTTAAAATGTTTACCTTTATTTCACTACTATGAACAATTTTCTTCTTTTAGCGTAGGAATGGATCAACCTATTCCTAGAAGTAATGCTTGTTGAATTTATCAGCTAGCTAGTTAATGTAAAATGATGCATAGTAAAAGGGAGATACTGAACTTGATTGGTAGAATATACTGGTAAAGCAAACAAGCACTTAAGATGATTAACTGGAATAAATATGTTGAAAGTTGCCATACAATATGTGCAAAATTGCTTACCATGTATTCTAAACTTTGGTTAAAATTTTCAGATTGAAGTTTTACAGAAACATTATGGAAGCAACACAAGTGATTACAAACACAGGAATGAGGTAAGTTATTATTAGTGCAAAAAGCAAGCATATGCTAAAAGCAAAGCATATGGATTTAAAAAAAAAAAAGAAAAAAAAGAGAAAAAATCTCATGGAAGTTTTAATACAAGACCAAACAGGTCTCTTGTAAACATTGGTATTTACAAGTTTAAGATTTGTACAACTACAAAAGGATAACTCTAAATATTAGTAGTGCATTTACAATGAATTTACGTTTTTTTGTAATAAGAGAAATGACTAAGTTTATCTTTTTCCTTTTAAATCTTCAGGGGATATCTTTCAAGATTAAGATATTTGTTACAAACAGTAGAAAAATCATTTCTTTACAAAAAAGTATATATTAAAATATTTATACATTTTAAGTTACTATATAATAACTGGAATTTTTTTCCTTGTACTCAGGCACCACAATGAAGACTGTGGTATAAGGAACTGAAACCAAATAGAATATACCAGTCTTGTGAATTATCTATGCAAGATCTGTAGCAATCATGGGGACTCTACCTCAAATACTACTGCATGTGCCAATTTTTTGTTTATTTTTAATTTCAAACTGCGTATTTTTTACATTTTAACTATCACTACCAAAAAGAGCTACTGGATAGAGTATGGTCCTCCACCCCACCATCTTCAATATAGTTTCTATACGGTACTCATACCTGAGCAAGGCTGTGTAGCGCTGATGTTTCAAACGTAAAAAAGGTTATATATTTTTAAGATAAAAACAATGCAAAAATAAAATATTTGTAGCATTTACAAATAGTACAAGAGTTACATTGAACACTACATTCGAAACTTGAGAATTATTATGTTGTTTCTACTTTGAGCTTGATGTTTTCATATCTGCAAAAAGAAGGAGACATTGTTAAACGTTTCATAATTTCACATCGTGTATGTAGTCAAAAATCTTTCAAACAAATATTGTTCCAGAGTTCTGGGATACAGATCATGGCCAAAACCCTTGCCAGTTAAAGGGTTAAAACAGCATCGGAATACTAAACATTAGGGAAGTCAACTTCTTCATTGTTGCTCTCCATCTTAGGAAAACACACGTTAAAAACCAAGCAGCTCGCTTTCAACCACACCCTGTGGGATCACAGCCCACAGACTGAGAGGTCAGCAGCTAAACAGATCCAACAGCTCGCTGCTCCCCGAGGGGGTGGGCACACTCCCCTCACTCTGCCATTCCTAACCTTTCTCCATGCTCATGGGGCCTCTTGCTGAGCAAAGCAAGCTCCCTACTAGCAGAAAGCTAAGCCAGAAAGGGGAAGGATGGGGTAAGAGTAGAACCCAGCAAAACTTCTTGTTTTGCGCCCCTGGATTGGCTTACTTAAAAGGTGAGCCGGAACTAATCAGGCTAAAAACTGATCTTTATTTTCAGTGGATCCATTCCCATCCCCAACTCATCATGAACCTGTGCAATTTAAGTGCAGGGACAAGATGACAAAACCTCTTCTGGCTGTGATACGGATTTTAAAGGGCATATGCATCACAACAATGCACCTTACGTCACCTTATGAAAATTTTTTCTAATAAAGAGGGGCAAAAGATTGAAAAAAACCCCTGATTACACCCATGCGTGTAACTGGATTACTTTACTAGAGGGAAAACTTTTGAGCTGAAGTGAAGCCCAGGGAAATCAGAAGCTTGCTGGGCTTTTATGATTTGAGGGACCGGGTAAGACTCAATAACTGTCATTTCAGTACTTGCTTGTCTTTGCTTGTGAACAAATATAGTTTGGTTTTTTTTTTAATAAATGTTATGCCAAAAGCGAGAACTAAATTTTCTTAAAAGTTCTACAAGGAACAAAATGATATTTCAAGAACTTTACATTCACTGCTGAGAAAAGCGTTGTTTCTAGAGACACAATATGCCATTTCCTCCGCCACAGCTACAGCCCATTTAAATGCTGCGTCTGACACCAACTTTACCTTGAAGCCATCGAACTTGTGTGGCTGGTCCGTATCCCCTCTCATTCTTTGCAGAAATTCTGAACACTATTGCAGGTCGGGAAGTGTAATCAACGTGAGCATTTGAAAGCTGGGCAGCAGTCACTACACATGATGTTTTAAGACCACAGTATATTCTCATAAAGACAAGCTGGCTTGGATTTTCCTGTAATTGTGTGGAACGGATTGCTAAGTAGGCAGAATATTCTAAAATATTTCCAGAGGGTGAAGCAGGAGGCTCCCAAGAAAGATGAATACAGTCTACACTCTGAAGAAAAAGAAAGAAAATGTGATAGCATGTAAGTAACCATTAGATACGGAGGTACAGATGTGCCTTTTGACTTTTTTTTTTTTAAAAAAAGCATGGTAAATACTTATAGATTCAAGGATGAAGAAAGAGAAAATCATGGGGAAACTATCAGGTGACTAAGATGTGTATCTGGTAATATGATCATTAAGTCTTAAAATAATTCTTTGTAGCAAATTTCTCAGAGAGTATTACATGGAGCAGAATTAACCAATTAAACATTTGACACTATTTTATATTACAATTTTAACTCGGACAAAAACCCCAACAACAAACCAACTGAAAACAAGAGTTCTCAGATTAAACTTGTGGCCAGAATTTTATACATCAGAGCTAGAATTACCTGCATTTCTCACCTTGGTGATTTTGACTGTTGAAGGAGCTCCAGGAAAACCCGGAATGCAAGTCTTGAATTCACTGACTTTACTGAAAGGCCCAACACCACAGCCATTAATTGCAGCAACTCTGAACCTGTACACTGTGCCTGGAAAAAGATCCTGTTTCTTAAGTAATCTGTAGTCTAGTACATCTGCGCTTTCATTCTGAAAATAAAGCAACGTTTGTGTTAGTTTTTAAAATATTCTAAACACAGCCTAAAAAATATGAAATGGGTAGCGACACACTGAAATTAGTAAGTTTAACTGAAACTGAAAATCAAACATTCTTATACTTAAATCAGAATTTATGTAAAGGTTCTGACTGAGGCACTAGCTCACCTCAAAACAGCTGATCTAAGCAGCAATATGAGACTACATGTCTAACCAACCCCGCCACCCCACCCCCCATTTTTCAGTCATTTAAATCGAACTGCACCTCTTGGTCATTTTCACTCAGGAAAAGTAAAAGCAAAGTAGCATTTCTGACTGCATAGCTTATGATTTAATGAGCATGCTCTTCTGTCCTAAAAAATATTTTTCTTTCAAAACCAGTTATTCCTACAGTTAGAAGTTGCAATTTGATGTGTAGGTAATCAAAAAGTTTTTAAAGAAAGGCACTGTAAATTAGTAACAAATAGGTTTCTGAAACATTATGTGCTACTGTTCTCCCATGTTTAAAATATTCATTGATGCATCCTTGAAACTTCCAGTGGAACTATTTTCTTTCTGAATAATGTATAAGAAATCACAATCAATGTAAACACTGTAAAATGCACTATGCTCTTTAAAACCAAGATGTGCAATATTTGTAGTGTAGTGCTTTCTTTGGCAGCGGTCTGTCCTTTGTTTCTGTCTCAAGAAAACATACACCCATCGTTTTTGGTTTTTAGTTCGCTAGGACATCATTCATTTACACTTTTGATACCTTAAGAGTCAAAAGACCCCCAGATGTAAGCGGCTTACACGCATAAGATTTAGGCCTTATTGTCTAGTTTGCTGTTGCTTTGCTAAAGTCAGTATTGTCTAGTGTGGATGTTTTTCTGAAGTCAGTAGTGTCTAGTTTGGATGTTTTTCTAAAGTCTGTAGTATAGTTAGTTAGTAAATTTAGAACCCTATTCAAGGACGGGAAGAATCGGGAGGGGATGAAGCAAAAGGATAATAACGGTTTGCCAAGGTTGCCAGACTAGAAGGAATGAGAACTAATTGGCGCAGGAAGATTCGTGGCTCCTTACGAAGGACAGTTTTTGATAAGAACCAGGAGTTTACCTTAAGAACTGGTTTACACCGACCCTGCAGTTTGGGCAAGAGCCAAGAAGCAACTGAGTCTGCGCAAGAACAAGGGGTTACTAGCGGTGACGAAGAGGAACCATCAGCCTTCATCCCCACGACCCCCAACGACCACCACCAGGAGGCACTGAGCAAGCGCAGTGGGGAGGGACTTATGGAAATGACCTCCTGAAGCTAATTTTAATACAAAGCAGGACAGGTTATGCATATGTATAGGCATACTGGGAAACTTCATGCATATGTAACACTTTGCTACATATAAACGACGGATCCGTGGGATCACAGGACCTCCAGCCGGCACCGAGGGATTCTCGGGGAGAACCTCTGATCCCCGGACCGAAGAATTCTAAGCAAGTCCCCTGGAAAGGTAATAAGGCATTCTTTTAAGGAGGGTAACGGAGCCTGCTTATAAGACGCGGTGAAAGCCTCGCAGGGTTGGGCTAGGGTCCCGGGAAAGGTTAGGTCGGGATTTCCGGTGGGGGGGCTAGAATCCCAGAGGGAGCTTCAACAGGGGTTGGGGTCCCTCTGACTAGTGCCTGTGATAGTGCACGATCACACCCACTAGTCTCTTGGGAGAATGGGTACGTTTCTGAGTAAGAAATCTGTCCCACAGGGAACACCTTTGGGATGTATTTTGAGACACTGGAAAGATCTGGGAGGTGATCCTCTGATTCAGAAACAATTAACTGAATATTGCAATCAGTGGTGGCCAATGTATAGATTGGAAAGTGGGGAGAAATGGCCAGAAAACAGGACATTGCAATATAATACCATCTTACAATTAATGTTGTTTTGTAAAAGGGAAGGTAAATGGAATGAAATGGCGTATGTTGATTTGTTCTTTACATTGCAAAATCACCCGGAATGGCAAAAATGTTGTGAGATATACCTACAGGATTCTGTGGCAATGGTTTTGAAAAAGAAAAAGTGTGGTAAGAACTCGAGAAAGTGTTGTTCTACTTGTGATATTGATGTAAATTGCCTAAAAAGAGGGACAGAGGAGGAGGATATTGAATTAATGGTTGTACCTCATCGGAGAAGGGGTCGAGAGGTTCAAAATCCAGAGGCTGAAAGTTCTTGTGCTCCTCTTCTGGAAGAGGAAGCAGAGGGATTTAGCCCAATTGCAGGAAGAACGCGGGGAAGGGAAGGGGAAGCAGGAGCAGCTTCTTTCCAAACCCCTCTCCAAGAAGCAGTAGGGAATGACAGTCCGGTGGTGGTAAAAGTTCCTTTCTCAATTGCTGATTTAAGATCATGGAAAGAGATCGCAGGTTCCTATCGGGAGGATCCCGAAAGAGTAGCCAAGGCAATTGAAACAATAATTAGAACTCAGGATCCTGACTGGAATGATTTACAAGTGATATTGGATACTTTCCTTGATGAAACTGAAAAGAGAATGGTATTGAATGCTGCCAGAAAACAGGTGGAGGGAGCATATGCTAATGGAGATTTACGGGGGACCGTGGACCAGAATTTTCCATCTGCAAATCCCGAGTGGGACCCTAATCAGCCGGGACACAGGGGAATGTTGACTAGATATCAGAGGTGGATTTTATTTGGTGTAAGACATGCAATGCCAAAAGCAGTAAATTGGTCAAAAATTTATGAAGTAAGACAGGAACCAAATGAGTCCCCTTCAGCCTTTATGGAAAGACTAAAGGTGACTGCTAGGAAGTATACCAATTTGAATCCAGAAAACCCAGAAGCAGCAACACAATTGGCCTTTTTGTTTATAGGTCAATCGGCCCCGGACATTAGAAAGAAACTCCAGAAACTAGAAGGACCCGAATCCAGAGATTTGGGTAAAATGCTTGAAGTAGCTTGGACTGTATATAAAAACAGAGAAAAAGAAAGAGAAGTTGAGACGGGCATGGAGCGATGGAAAATTACTGGC